GAATGAGTGGAAGCCCAAAATCTCTGTAAATGTTTATGAAAATTAATAAAATATAATTATAGAAAAAAAAAAAAGAAAGAAAACAGATCACAAAGCCTTTCTTCCACAATTCCAGGAGGTGGGTTTGAACCATCACCCTTTAAGTTAGTAGCTGAGCACAAATGATTTGCAAATAACATGATTACTTAAATTTTTATTTTAAGCAAACTATAAACCACCAAAAGGTTAGCAGTTGAAATCAACTAGCTGCTCCAAGGTGGAAGGACTGGCAGTCTAAAGATGTATAACTTTTGAAACACAGGGAAGATTTAGAGGCTTCAAAATCCCTGAAGGGCACTATGAATTGGACATCACTTGACAAAGTAGGTTTGATTTTGTTATGTTATTGTTATATACCGTTGAGTCAAAATTAACTCATAGTTGACCCTCCAGTGGTTTTCAAAGGCAATCAATTGCACAAGAGGAGATTCCTCTTTCTCTCAAAGGAGCAGCTGGTGGATCTGAATTGCAGTCCAGTTTCTATTTTTCTGTAATGTTAAGACAAATGAAGCTTCTATAAGTCCTTCAAAAGGGGCATTTTTCAAAGCTCTACCCTGCTCTCTTTACATCAGTCTGCACATTCATGAATTCTTTTCTTTTACATACACATGTGTGTGACTCCTGTATTTTTCTATTCCTTTCTAATCTACCATGGAATTCATGACAAGAATCAGATTATCTCAGATTGAAAATGAATAGCAATAAGTAAGAGTAAAAAAAAAAAAAGAAAGTTTTCCTGAGGGTTTGTTACAGTACACAGTACAGGTAAACTCCGATTTTACCAAGTTTGCTTTAAGCCACCTTGCTTTTACAAAAGACCTAAGTTAGTGCTTGTTTTTGCTTATTAGAAGAGAAACCAGAATAGGATTGTTGCTTTTATGATAAAAGGCACAAATAAAACCATCATTTGGTGTTTGTTCTGCAGTGAGCCTATAGAGACAGCTTGCACCTAAGCATCAAGAGTGGGGTCAGCAGGCTCCCTCCCCAGTAATCACTCAGCAGCCCAGTATCAGGCCAGGACTGTGTTATCTTAGCTCTTACGTAGTATTTGGTTGTTGTTGTTGTTGTTGTTGTTATGGGCCATAAAGTAGCTTGAGACTCATAGCAACCCTATGTACAACAGCTCTAAACTCTGCTCTGTCCTGTGCCAATCCCATTGTCTCTGACACACTCATCTCCACTGCCCCAGTCACTGAATCAATCCACCTCATAGAGGGCCTTCCCCTCCTACGCTGTCCCTCCACCCTCCCAAGCATGATGTCCTTCTCCAAGGACCTGTACCTCCTTACAACATGACCAAAATATGTCAGACGAAGCCTCAGAATCCTTTCCTCCAAGGAGCCGCCCGGTTTAACCCTCTCCAGAATGAATCTGTTTGTTTTCTTAGCAGTCCACGGCTCTCTCAGCACTCTTCTCCAACACCAAGCTCAAAAGCATCAATTCTCCTTCTATCCTCCCTGGTCATTGTCCAACTCTCTGCCGCATAACAAGTGATTGCAAAGACTATGGCCTGTACCAGATACATCTTAGTCTCCAGAGACACATTGTTGCTCTTGAGTACTTTAGAAAGGTCCCTAACAGCAGACTTTCCCAAGTATTTGGTAGATTGTTTTTTGAGTCTAGGAACGTTCCAAATTTTTACCATAAAAATTAATAGCAAAGGTTTCTTCTTTTTATACCGTTCAGCTTACAAATTATTTCAAAGTAAGACTCTTCAAAATACCATGGGAAAACAGTGTATCTATACCATTTAGATAAAATAAACATAAACAATTAGAGAACCAAATGGAACACCAGTCTAACATGTAGAATGGTTTGCACACTTCAACTGAATCAGAGATGTCAAGAACCACATACTGCCCAAATGTGAAGACAACTCTAATAATACCTGAAATTAAGAAGCTCAACTCACTACCAACTGGCAAGTGGAAATAGTCTAGCACTGAGATATGAAGCCTGGACAACTGTATATGTGCAAAACACAAGATAATTCGCTTCCCCCTCACACATCTGTCCAGTGAATAAAATCAGGTTTTTTCTTTTGGTTTCCTCGGAGCAAAAACCTGAATGGAAATAGAGCCCATAGGCTGGGAGTCTATCACTGAGTCCTGATCTTTCCAGCTTCCTCCCATTGAAAACTGTGCACTGTTTTAAAATCCACCATTTCAGATGGAGTCACTAACAAAAGGATTTATCAAACTTATAACCCAAAGGCACAATGTTAATACCTACAACTACCACTGGGTAGGGAGCTCTGGGGCCTAGTGGCAAGAAGCTGCACTGTAATACTGAAGGCAGGCAACACAGTTCAAACCACTAGCTGCTCCATGGGAGAAGGATGAACAACCTCCTCTCATGAAATTAACTGCCTCTGAAAATGCGCTGAAGGGTCAACTATGGGTTGGTTCCAACTCAAAGGTACACAACAACATCTTACCTACATACCCCTTTTAAAACTCTCACTTGACCTTTAAAACCTTCCAATCATCAAAAGCAGGTTCTTTCCCTGCAAAATCCACAATCACAATTCATGATGCCCTCACTCAACAATATCATTGGCCCTCCTTTGTTACCTTGAGCGACAGCAGCATATTTTCTATCTCATAGCAATTTCATAGACATTTACAATTATAGTTATACTTAAGAGTAATTTCTTTAGAAAGTAGTAAGTCATCAGTAACAGAATCTCCAAAATATTTCCTGCACTGTATTTATTTGAAAGGATTAATTTATTCAATTTATTAAATTGCAAAAAAAAAACCCTGATTTTGAGCAAATAGAGCTATCAATTCTTCCAGTTCTTTTGGTTAAATAAAACTGGGGAAAATCAGTAAGTCAAGACTATGAGAGGCCATGGCCCACCTGCGCTGCTAACTCAAAGGAAGGCAGCTTGCAGGTATCAGCCCCTCCATGGGAGAAAGATGGGCAATCTCTCCTCATGCGACATACAGACTCTGAAAACCCGGCGGAAGGTCAGCTATGGGCTGGTTCGTTCTTGACAGCAATAAACAAGTCTGCAAACCTTTAACTCTAATTCTATCATTTTTAAAAAAACAGTTTAAAAGCATTAATTTCTATCTAACAAGTATTAGTTCTAAAAATAAAATTCAATTAATCCAATTCTCTCTACTCTAATATTCATCCATCAATTTAAAAACCAAATGATAAAATACCCAGATAAGGAAGTTGCCGTGTCCTGCAGATGTTCTTTTTTTGGATGGTCAACCAGTGAGCTTTGGTCCTGTGACTTTTCTCTTGCATCCCCTACAATATTTCCGTAGTTGGCACTGCTACTGGTTTCTAAGGGCTTCTGATTTGAATGTTTCTTCTCTCTTTCTTGCCTGTCAGATCGACTCCATGATGATACACATTCTTCACTGTTCTCTGTGGGTTTTCGAAAACCGGAATGCAAAGATCTCTGCGTAACTGATGATGCAGGTGTGTGAGATGGTTCCACAGTCCTGCTCTTGCTATGAAATGACAGTTCTTCATCATCAGAGGGTTTTAAGAATTTAGGTCTCAAATTCCCAAGAGAAGAAAACTGTTGATTGTGCCTTGAACTGGATTCTCTTCTACCTATTTCTAAAGATGTAGATCTATTACCTTTTTCATCACCACTAAACTTATCTTTACTAATATTGTTTGGACTAGCTGTAATACCATATCTACTTCCTGAGCTTTTATTATAATTTACTAAGTCTGATTTTCTACTTTCTTGGTTACTTTGTGTTTTATCAGAGTATGTTGGTTTTCTCCATCGTTCTTGTCTCCAATCTTCCTTTCTGGATGCTGTCTTTTCAGCTTCTTCTAATTTGGACTGAAATATTTCCATTGACTAAAGAAGAGAAAAAGAAAATAAACTTAAAACTACTCCAATTACACACACTGTCCCCCCATGCCCAATACTCCACTGTGCTATGACTCATTGCTATCTGCCAAAACAAAAGGAAAGTACACTGCAGAAAATTAAAAAATAAAAAAGAAACACTTAATCATTTTACTCCTAAACTGATATTTAAAAATGATGAGGGAATAAAGAAAAATTACCAAATACCACAAAATATTTAGGGTTTCAAAAGGGTACAAATTACACTAAATGTCCTAACATAAAAAAAAAAAAAACCCCACACTAAAATTCAAAGACACATAAATTTTAAATAATTCTAGAGGCTGCACTGCAATCCCAGAGGTATACAGTCCAAATCCACCAAATGCTCTGCTGGAGAAGGAGGGGCCATCTTCTCCTGTACCAGTCCGATCCAATTTGACAGTACACACACAAAATAATAAAAATAAAAATGTAAAAAAAAAATTCTTATTGTCAGTGAGATACAAGAAGTTACAGTACTACTAAAAAATAACTGAGTCAAATGAAAGAACAGGAGCAGTTCAAGAACAAATAAAAGGGAAACTTCATGCTCAAAAAATTACCCAAAATGAACAGAAGCATAGAAAATGCTGAAAACTGAGTGAGTTCAACGGCAGCCTGTGAATTCTTTCTCTTTTAGATAAAAGGTAAGCAGAGACAAGTAATGAGATAAAATATTCAAGGACAATTGCGTCTGAACAATCTAATATTATAGGAGAGTCTAGAGAGCATTACGCTGAGTGAACTAACAAAGTCTCTTAATAAGGACAAATACTGCATAAAACCATTATTGTAAAAGGAGAAGGATAACTAGTAAGATGTGTACAGATGTCCAAAGGGGGAAGAGAAAAGAGGGAAGGGGACAGAAATCACTGGGAAAGCAGATTTTAGTGGATGGACTGCGAGGAGGGTGAGGAAATGGGAAAGATTCAATGGGGACTTGAAAAGGTAGAATAATAATAGGTAGAGATCAATGGTAATTCATTATACAGGATACAGGCCATATGAATGACTGTAAAGGAGGGACTGTATGGAACATGATGCATATGAATGAAACAATGCAACTGAATTATATGAAATGATGTATTAATTATATAAAATTCATATAGTGTATGAAAACCAATTAAAAAATATTTTTTAAGGTTGCATAGTAGAGTGTACTCAGGGCGGTGGGAGGGGTGCGGGGGGACTGTATACCAAAGGGGCAGTGGGAGGGGTGTGGGGGGGTGTTGTATACCAAAGAAGGAATTTTTCTTTTGCTTTTCTTTTAAAAAAAATTTATTATTTTTTTGTGTGTGTACCGTCAAATCAGATCTGACTGGTACAGGAGATTGCCCCTCCTTTTCCAGCAGAGCATCTGGTGGATTTCTTTTGCTTTTCAAAGAGAGAAGCGAACTAGAGGGGGGTGGACTGGGCAGGGAGAAAAGTGCAACAATGAATGAATGGAAATCCAAAATATCTGTAAATGTTCATTAAAATTAATAAAAAAAATTAGATTCCTCTATAGTAACAAAGAGAACTCTAAAAAGGAAATAAGGAGAACAATGTCATTTATAAGAACCCAAAAGACAAAATATTTAAGAATATATCTAACCAAGATACAGTCCTGTACAAACAAAAGAATGTAACACGGCTACAAGAAACTACATAAATGGAAAAGTACACCAAGCTCATGGATCAGAAGGCTTAAAATAGTGAAAAAGGCTATATTCACAAATCTACAAATACAATGCAATTGCTATCCAGATCTCATTATAATTTTTCAAAGAGACAGAAAAAGCAATAATCAACTTCACAGAAAAGGAGAGAGAATTTAGATAAGCAAAGAGAGTGAAGAAGTAAAACAAGGAGAGCTTCACACTTCTGATCTCAAAGCCTACTACACAACCATCATCATCAAAACAGCTCCGTACTGGTCCAATGACAGGTACAGAGACTGATGGAGCAGAATTGAGAACCCAGAGAAAACTAACTCCATCCACCTATGGACAGCTGTTCAGAAGAAAGAGAGGTAACCTCCTCCAAGACAACCTGCTGGTGGGTCAGCTATGAGTCAGTTCTGACTCGACAGCAATGATAGATGGATAATTGCTCTCCAACAAAGAGATGAAATTCATTATAGGAAGAAAAGACACCATCTTTAACAAATGGTGCTCACAAAACTTATCTACTTGCAGATAGATGAAACAAGATAGATATTTCACAGCATACAAAAATACCCAATCCTAAATCCAAATAGATCCAGGAACTCAGCATATCTGAAATGATAAAGATCTTTAAAAACAAAACAAAACAAAACAACAAACTAGGGCAAACTTAGGAGACTTACTCTGTGACATGAAAAAAACTATGAAATATAACTTAGAATGCATAATCAACACAGAATAAAGTAAATGATTGAGACAACTTAAAAAGTAAATCCTCACATGCATTAAAAGACTTCTCAAAAAAAAAGAGTAAAAATAGAACCTACAGACTAAGGAAAAAAATATTTGGGAATGGCATTGCTTACCAGGAATTTCTCTCTAAAATTTGTAGAGAAAACTCCACACCATCTCAAGAAAAAAACCAAGTAAGCTAATTACAAAATGGGCAGAGAATATAAATAGACACTTCACCAAAAAAAGACATTCAGATGGCCAACAAACACATGAAGAAAGGCTCAAGATCAACTATTAAGAAATGGTGAGCTATGTTCAACAAGGCAAAAACAATAAATGCTGGTGAGGATGTAAAATGGTGCAACCATTATGGAAAGTAGTGACACTTCCTTAAAAATTTAAGAATGGTATATCACTGAATACATATCCCAAAGAAATAGATGCAGTGCTCGCTTCGGCAACACATATACTAAAATTGGAACGATACAGAGAAGATCAGCAAGAAGTGCAAAGAAATAGACGCAGTATAAACTGTCAGATTCATACCGATGTTTGTTTCAGCATTATTTACAAGAACAAAGAGCTGGGCATAATCCAAGTGTCCACTAATGGAGGGATGGTTAAAGAAGCTGAGGTATATTTACACAACGGAGTACTATGCATCACTAAAAATGAATCAAAGAATTTGTAAAATATTGCACAACATGCTGAGTGATGTAAGTCAGTCATAAAAAAGACAATTATAGTATAAGATATCTAACACACAAAGCTAAGGAAAGATTTACACACAGAATCCGCATTGGAAGGTTAACAATGAGAAAGGAAGGGACAAGAGAGCAAAAATTAACAAATAGATAAACTGGGTGAGATTTTTAAAAGGAAAAATACTAAATGAGTTTAATAATAAGGAAATTAAGCAGAAAATAATCTCAGTATTTGAAATCTAGCATCAACTCAATTAACAAATGTTTCACAGCACAAAAGAATCACAAAAGCATTTGTTTTTCAAATCACTCTACAAGGAATTCTAAAAGGAATACATATTAAAACAGCTCACCCCGTATCTTTCAGCTACAATGTCCTCAAAATTTCTATTTTGTTTCTCAGCTTGTTCCTTCATTCTTTGATAAGACTTCCTTAGCCAACTTAATCCACCATCTTCCACTACTGAAATTAAATTAGAAAATCAAATGTCAGTTTTACTTTTCATATTGTTATCAAACAAGTAATATTTATTGCTTCTTTGATTACTTCTAAACTAACAGTTTAAATATTCTATTTGAATAATTAAAAATCTTCAGTGCACTGAAAATTCAGTTCAGCATATATTTGAGCACCTGTATGTCAGGTACAGACTCATCCACTACACCGAAGAAAAATATAAAACTATCCTCAGAAAAACTCCAATCTAAGAGAATGAGATATAAACAACTAAAATAGGGACATATATGAAAATATCATAAAACTATTTAAAGGCCTATATAAAATTAGAAAACCAAGGGAGGGAAGGAAAAAAATCCATAAACAAGAAGAAAGTGTAGGTAAGAGCAGGGTGGGATGAAAAAAAGTAAAGAATAAAGTTATATGTATGAGTATAGGAGGAGTTGGCACAAAGAACAAATAAGGGAGTTTAAAAAGATGTAAAGCTGAAATGGTAAAACAAATTATCCAATTTCAGTCTTTATTTTCAACTGTGAATGAACATTTGAAAGCCTGTTAACATAAAAAACTTTAAAGTGCTTACAGTTCTTTTTAAAAACATCATACTTTTGATACATACAAATAAATTACTTAAAAATCAAACTCCTGCTTTCCCTTACCCAAAGATAAGAATGTTCTAAGATCTCTCCAGCAAAAAGGAACATAAATGCTCACATACAGACCCTAAGAGACAGACAGAACAATCCACAATAACCAGAGACTGGAAAACAACTGAAATGTCAGTAGAATGACTACAGGGATTTATTATGTTCCTAAAA